ATGCTGCAGAGCCAAGAAGTTCAGGATCCCCCACTGACACTGGAATTCAAATTTCTTTTCTTTTTCCACCCCCCTGCACTGTAATACATAAGTTTGTTGTCTGTATCCATAGATAGCTCTTGGAAGAAAAATGTTCTGGACATCTGTGGCTGCTCTTCCTGCTTAAAGCTGGGATGAAGAACCTCCAGGATTCCTCCAAACTGGATTCAGTCCCCTGATGTGATGGACTGGAATGGGGGGAATAGGGGGGTTAAGAATGTGCTCTCGTCTCCAGAGGAACGCGGTAGAGATAAGCGCAGGAAACTGGCACCTCTCTAAGACATTCCTTGATATGGAACTAGCTGAGTCTGGGAACTGGTGTTCATTCTGAGAAGATTCTTGTTAATGGGCTGTAGCTAATAAACCTTGCTGATTGAACCTCCATGGTCTCCTGGAGTTCCTTGGGCTAGGCCTGGTGCCAGTTTCCTGCGCTTATCTCTACCATGTTCCTCTGGAGGCGAGAGCACATTCTTAACCCCCCTATTCCCCCCATTCCAGTCCATCACACCTGATACTTTTTGCTTCTTGATTTCTGTTTGTCCGATCCTACTCTTTCTTTTCCTACAGTTACCGATGTTTCTGTTGTTGTTTTGGATTATCTCTATCCTGGGTATAATTATGCATTGTCTCAGCCTGATTATAATTAGAGTCAATGCAGAAAGTAATTGGCCTGTTCAGAAGAGCAGATTGTTTCCTTGCTGTTTTTCATAAACAGGGATTCTTAACAAAACTTGCCATTTATGTTTGGGTTCTGGTCTTCATTTTAAATAATGGATCACTTTCTGCCACGTGGGATTCCCCATGTTTCTCTCAGACTTGAATCCAGGGGTGTCTGAGGGAGGAGGAACAAAAAATGTCAATATGGCAGTTGCAAGTGTGTGATTGAAGTCCCACCCCCCTTTTTTTTTACAAGCATCACAATGCACTTAAAAAAGGGCGGGACTTTGATCACCCCACCCTTGTGTGCATTGCGAAGCCCATCAAAAGGGGATGGAGCATCCATCACATGGTTGTGGCCACCAGCTTGAGGTTTTTGACTCCCTGCTTGAATTCTGCCAGGTGTCCTGGATCTCAAACAAATGACTGAATGTCTTCAGGCTTTTAGGCCTTTTTTTCAGACACAGGCGCAGGAAGCAGAAATGTAGGATCCTACATTTCAGCTGGCAAGTATTATGAAGCTTCTTGACTGAGAGACAAGTGGCCAGACATAATTTAAGACAAGCAACCTCTGCTTTCCCCTGAGATGAAGTGTAGGGACTTGCAACATCCATTCTTGTGACAGGCAGATAGTAATTGGCCTCTGAGCCGGCCAAGTCTGGAATGAATAAGAAGGAGATATCCCACTAACCCTGGATTCAGCAGTTGACTCTGACTGCTCCATTTCAGGCTGCAGAGACTGATTTCAGGGACTGTAAATCTGACTGTTCGTGGATTTGAGTATAGGTAGCCATGACATCAAATTTCACCCCTTCATTCCTGGATTAACAGCCCTTTCCAAGAAATGATTGATTGTGCGCTGATGAAGAATTTGGTAGTTGGCTTCTCCTGGATCCTTATCATATCCTTGACATTATTTGGCTTCCTATATACACCTATTGTATTCTAAAATTGTTGCATATGGCTTTTTTAGATAATCAGCTAGTGTTCTTTGTTTCACAAAATTCTTCTGGAGTTGGGTACTTAGCATAACAAAGCAAGGCTGGAAGTAGCAGGAAACAATTGACCTTTAGATTGTGTCTTTTTCCAGAAAACCCAAGAGAATCCTGCTTTGACCCAGGCCTGATTAAGAATGGGACCCGAGCTGGTAGTGAACTGAAACTGGGCTCCACTATCACATACTACTGTGACAGTGGTTATGTGATTGAAGGGGTGTCCACTGTGACGTGCATCATGGGAGGAGATGGGAAACCTGTGTGGAACAAACCAAGACCCATGTGTACAGGTAAGTTGGAGGTCTTCTGGATTCAAGTTGAACATCACTCTTCTACTGGCACAGTTGAAACTGAAATTTTGTAGAGTGGTTGGAACAACTTTCTTTTAATCTTTTATTTCTTTCCTTTTCCATTTCGAAAATGTCTGGTTTTCCATTTCTTGTCCCATAGGCCAACAACCTCATTATCCAGGGCATTGCTTGAAGTTCTCCACTGTTTGAAATCAAATTCTGTTGAAAAATCATTCATTAGGGTATTATTGCTCCCAGTGTATAGTGTAGCATATGTTACGGAATATGTATCAGGCACAAGTTCTGCTTAAGATGCATTCTGCAGCATGCCTTTGTCCATTGAATTAATACAGCATACTGGCCCAGGAATCTGGGAGAGAAAAAGGAGCCAGCATTGGAAGCTAACCCCATATTTCCTTTCTCCTTGTTTTAGCACCATGTGGAGGTCAGTACACTGGATCAGATGGTGTCGTCCTGTCTCCCAACTATCCTCAGAACTACACCAGTGGACAAGTGTGCCTGTATTTCATCGTTGTGCCCAAAGATTATGGTATATCCCTGTTGTTCATGACTTCTGATCATTTGCGGGTTGTAGTGTTGATACATTCTGTCCAAAGAGGTGATCAGAGGCAATATGAGGCAGGAATTCTTAGTGGTGCCCAACCAAATGGTAGAAATCATAGCTGAGTGTATAGAACCTTTTGAGATTCTCCACCAAATTTGCCGGCAGAAAAATTATGTGGGTGACTTCTCTGAATTTATCCTGCAGAAGGAAAAATTCTAAAACAATTTCTCAAGGGTAGGACTTTTCCTTAGAGCCAGATGGGTGTAGTGGTTAAGGCATCTGTCTAGAAACCAGGAAACCATGAGTTCCTCTCCTGCCTTAGGCACAAAGCCTGCTGGGTGACCTTGGGCCAGTCCCTCTCTCTCAGCCCTAGGAAGCAGGCAATGGCAAACCACTTCTGAAAGACCTTGCCAAGAAAACTGCAGGAACTTGCTCATGTAGTCACCAGGAGTCAAGTTGACTTGAAGGCAATGAGATCCAGTTTGGTGTGGTGATGATGGTGCTGGACCAGAAGCCAGGAGACTGTGAGTTCTAGTCATGCCTTAGACCCAAAGCTTGCTGGGTGATCCTGGGCCAGGCATGCTGGCAAACCACTTCTGAAAAACACCAGGAATCAAGACTGACTTGAAGGTACCAAAAAAAAAAAAAAGTATTTTCTTTAGCAATGGTAATATCACCACTAGTGAAAAAGAATACCAATCCAGGGGAATTCCTTCTTGAAGTCTTCCCTTGAAACTGACTAGAAACATAGGAAACCAGAGAGGTTGCTGATTCCTGGAGAAATAATTGAATCACAAAAGGTCAGATATTCTCATAATCTGTCTCCCTCTCTCACATACATACATACACATACATTTATAGGCCACCTTCTCATTAATTACTCCACCTATGAGAATTTCTCTGAAATTCTCTTCTCCTTTGGGGAAAAAAACAAATCTGAAGCAAATTTTCATTCAGCAAATTGAATGAGAACTAGGGAAAAGTGCAGAAAAAATTATCTCCCCGGCAGAAATAGATATATAACGAGAAACAGTCTCAATGGTTAGGATCTGTTTTCTCCATCGGTGGGATTGTATTCTGCTGACTGAAGGAATTAATAGGTTTAGAGCTGTTAAGAGCCATTGATGCTCCAAAGGATTAAGGTTATACAAACTTAATAGAACATGAGAGACTAAGCCAAAATGGAATGTGTTTTCCATTTGCACAATGGTGTCATGGTCTATGTGATACCATTGCAGTAGCTTCTGGCTACCTTTGAAACCACACTAATGCTCTTTAGTTCTAGGCATGCCTTCATTCAAATGTCTTTAAAATGAAACCAGAGCAGGGTGAAGCTCCTGTGCTGTAGATTGGTCAAGATACAAAATGTCCAAGCTTGTTTTAATGCTTCATGATATATTGGGCTAAAAGATTAGGGATTTGAAGAGAAGACAACTCCAGCTTTCAGGCAGGCTTAATGCCTCTTGATTTTACTCAAAGAGGTCTTATCCTTTTTGCTACCTATTATTGGCCGCGCTCACTCAGAACTCACTGAATTGGCTGTAGAGCTATCAAAAGACTTTGGGGGCAATTGGGACTGCCCAACCAGCCTCAGGAGAAGGTTGGGAGTATTCTAGCATGGCAATGATTTGGCAAGGTTTGCTAACGTTTCCAAGACTTTCACCACTGAGGTTTTCTGAAGAGAAATCAAGGAGCTTGTGACTCTTTAAATGGATATTTACAAGCTGTAGATCACTCAACCATGCAGGTGAAAAGCAACCGATGACAATAATAAGAATCTCAGCCTTGGGGTTTCAAGGCAGAAAGTGGTGCTTGCTATGTTTTGAAATACACACACAGACTCCCAAAGCCTTTGAAAGCAGCTCTCTCTTTTTTTAAATGGTCTAATGATCTGTCCGATATTTCATTGCTCCTTTGTTTTTACAAGGAAAAAATCTGCTTGCAACCCAACTGAATTTAAAATGGAAGTAATATTCTGAGAGAGAGAAAAGGGGGAAAAATAAATGTAGGCGTTTGCTTCTAGGCACAATCCAAGCAACTGTTGTTTCTGCACAGCCTCTGTTCATTCTCTATGGAGCATCTGATCTCAAGTTTTAGAGGATTTTTTATCTTGTTTTTTAGCAATAGCTGGTGTCTCGGTGCTTGACAGCCTTTTTGTTCTCCTGTCTGTAAGGTATTTTGCCTTTTGTATATTGCTAGGTTTAATAAGAAACGCCCTTTTAGCTTCCAGCCTGGCTTCTATTTCAAGCAATAGCCCACGGATTCCTCTGAGAAGTTCACTGTGGGAGACAGCCTAGCGGAGTTCACACAACACCCTTCTCCTGGGTGCCTAGCCCAAATTTCTGGATTCACTCAGGTGAATCAGAACCAAACGGGCTAAGTTTATGCAACATTTTAAGCTACACCCAAAAAACCTTACAAGGTTAAAACTAAGGTTAGCATGTCATGTGGACGCAGCGGTTACATCTTTCATTAGCCTGGTGAAACATGTTGCACATACTCAGAAAGTAATTTCCTTCCTCTGCTGTTGTCTCCTAGGAACTGGCATGCAGTGATAGAGTCATTCTAAACCAGAATCAGAAGTTCCCATGACTTCAACTAACACAAATGCATTTGTGCATGCATTTGCCTAAACTCCTTTTAAAGCCGCTTAGACTGGTCACCATCCCCATATCTTGTGTGTGTGTGTGGGGGGGGGGGAATGCTTAGATCAACCTTCCGCATCCCTGGGCTCTCTAGATATGTGGAGAGAATTCCCAACACGTCCCAACATACAACTGGAGGATACCAGATTGGGAACCCTATTCTAGATTAATGACTTGCTTGGAATGAAGTCCTTCCTTAGATCTTTCCTTCTTCCTTTCCTTGCCAGTCATTCCACTGAATGACAAATAGTTCTCTTACTATGAGAAAGAGGATTCCCCCCCCCCCCCCCCGC